GTAGTAAGGCACTTGTTACTAGTAGCGATGCACTTGTTTCTACTAGCGTAGATTTCCAATTAGGTGATGAAGTTTGCTTGCTTCTTGGACCGCCCTTGCTCTTGCTGTCTGCCCTCAGCTTTTTGGTGCAAACCGCTGCAGAAAATCGACCGATGCCATTTGGCAGTGCAAGCCGCAGAAAATCTGTCTTTGAAGGCTTTTCCCTGCAGATCGACGACTTCACCTGAAGGCAACTTGATGCCTTCAGCACTCGAAGGATCCAGCATGATCCAGCTCAGCGCATTCACCACTTCTGCTCCATGTCTCATCCATAGCGAGGGGGCATCAGGATCTCGGGTCCCATGACAACGACTGCAAGCGCCAGCAGAAAGCCAGTGAGGACCATGGTTTGTGACAGGCAGAAGCAATACCGGAAGGTACCAACCTGCATCGTTCTGGCAAGTCCAAGCTACCTACAAATCGAATAAAATACGTATATATATATATATATACAATAACTCACCAGAAGATAGAATATGATTTAAATCGTTTTTGGTATTTAAATTTAGGACGGCAGCGTCCCGGTAGTAGGTGTTCTACAGATTCCTTTTGCATATACGACCATCACTTGTCATCTCAAAGAAACATACAATACAGGAGGCGCCCCATGCTCAGTCTGCAGTGTTTCCTTATGAATGTCACAAGTTTCAATAGATGCATGAGCATGTTCAATACGCACAGTACAGACACAGACAGAGAGAGCAGGGAAAAGAAACAGACCTTTGCACGCTTTGCAGTTGTTCTCGAGGTGCTTCAAGCTGTGCTTTTGTTGTCTTGCTTTTCACGTACCTCCATATTCTATCTGCATAGGCCCCCCGGATTTAAATTGTATCTCAACTTGATATATTCTATCTGCATTTAAAGAAAAAACCTTATTCTAACTGCCGGTGAACTATAGTATATATACAACCATATATCGTATCATATCATTGGTAAGAATGTCCGAGCCCTGCCCTCAAGTAGAAAGCATTTCACGCCCTGCTGTGTCAACACGCTTAACCAACCACCAAACAAAGTGGTTCGATGTGGTTCGTGTAAACACTCTTGGGGGGGGGAAAGAACGCTCTTCGGCCTGAAAGCAGGGCAATGGCCCAAACCACAAAGCAAATGTCACTGATTCATGGGGCTCTGGAGCAAAAAGGAGACGAACACCACCTCCTTCGCTGCGTGGGGATGTTGAGCGGGTGAGCCCGGGAGTGTTGCTGGTGATCTCACGAAGCAGTTGGGACTTGTCCACTCCGCCGGTCGGCACAGACACCACACCGGTCGGATCTGTTCCTATTCCAGTCTCTGCAGTCGTCTCCACTTCCTGCAGCGTAATCATGTTTCAAAAGAAATCACATCAAAGCTCAGTTTTATATGCACGTCATGCAAATGCTGCTAACACATGATAAAGCAATAGTGGGGGATCAGGTTGAAGTACAGCATTGCATGCTTGCCAAGCAAATGTCTGAATCTTGTCATTGTTGCACGTCCTCTTTGACAGCGCTCTGCTGCGTACGAGGTGAAGTTGACTTAGAGCAGGAAGAGCAGCCGTGGATGAATCCTGCACAGGGCTTCCTGGTTTCAGCTATGTGTGTTCTCCTGATTTGAGCAATGCTGCTGGACTGATCCCTCTGCTGGGCTCCCACACACCTTGGATTGAATCTGTCCATCCACTTAAGACCAAAACGTCCTCGTCCAGCTTGCAGCAAGATGATGCCCAAGCTCACCACCCAAAGGATGCGAAGGCGCAAAGGCCGTGCCATAGTGACACTCTGAGGTGTGGCTCCAGAGTGACTCTCTGAGGCTTGAGACCGGAGATGCAAGGCCCACTTCATCGACTTGAATCAATCGGAATCGTTGTCACAATACGTAAGCTTTGCACTGGTACGTTCACATATTCAATCTGAAGGAAGAGAAGAGTGGAAACCCCATGAGGTCACTTATGGAGCTAAAATGAGCTAATACTACTAGGCCGGAGGCCATCGCTACTAGTTACTTACTAGCTCCTCATGATGTCAATTGCACGGGAGCTCAGCTCCGCTCAGCTCCACACGCACGGCTTGGGCCAAGCGCGTGGAACCTAGACCTGGGGTTCATGGTTTGCGAGGGCGGATTGTGTTTCTCATCGTTTGGATTGTGTTTCTCATACTAGGTTGGAGGCCTTTGCCTACATCCTAACAAATCAACGTGCAGGATTAAAATTCCTTCTGCGAAGCCGGGCTTCTGACAGGAATACACGTGCCCCCGCACGCAAATGAACTGCCCCCACTGCAGCCTAGGTAAGCGCTCTCGTGTGCAGAAGCAGCTATGCGAAGGAAGGATGGCTGGAAAATTCAACATTGAGCACACATTCAGCATCAAACATTCAGCCAGCCAACCAAAACACCTTCAAGAAACACACATGTGATGATCAGTGTGACTCAATGTGACACTTGAAACTTATAGAAATCTATGCCAATGACTTTGTGCAATTGGACCGGCAGCCTGTTCATCAGATCGCCCGAACATGTCGTCTGAGGTCCTGGCCCAGCCAGTGGAGTTCCACAGTTCCAAGTTCAGCTGCAAAAGCGCTCCACTGGCTGGGATGCCACCTGCGAGGTCGGTCGCCCCC